ATCTATAACAGTGAAAAAAGTTTTTTGTTTTTAAATCAAGCTATTGTGACACCAGATATAAGTGGTGGCACTGACTGGGGAAATGGGCACAGTATGCACTGTGAGCCTGACACAGAAGCTGGCAGCAGTGGCAGACAACTAAGTGCAATTACATTACATAGAAAAAAAAAAATTAAAAAAGCATACCCTTATCCCTAACCTAGCTATGCTTTTCCCTATCTTATGAACAGCAGCTACACTTTCCCTCCTCTTACTAAGCATGCAGCTTGAGAATGAATCTAAAATGGATGCCTTCCAGGAGGTGGGAGGGTCTGCTAGGGAGGGTATGCTGCTAATTGGCTGGAATGTGTCTGCTGACTGTGATTTACAGGGTCAAAGTTTACTCAATGATGACGAATAGGGGGCGGGTCGAACCGCGCATATGTTCGCCCGCCGTGGCGAACGCGAACATGCTATGTTCGCCAGGAACCGTTCGCCAGCGAACCGTTCGGTACATCACTACTGTTTACTGTGTTAACCTCTACCACTTCAGCTGGAAGAAATTCACTAGACATGAATTAAAAGCAAGCTTCTTAAGTTGAGCAACTCTGAGATTGTTTCAATTTATTTTGCATTGAGCTCTCTCTGAGTTGAACCATAATGTTATTTCAAGATGAGAATTCACATTTTTTATTTCAGTATTATTTAAAAATCAGGTGGGATCTACATGTCATTTACATACACTGTAGGGACCTAATAAACTATATAGTGGATTTATGATTGATAACAGGAGAAAAGCACCACGTCTGAGTGTGAATTTTACATCGCAACATATGTAAAGAAAACCAGTTAGTGTATAGAAATCATATACAGTTTATCTATATGAATTTAGTGCGCTGGTGAACTAAGCTGTGTGTCATTGCATACTTTGATTTTTGTACCAACAGCTGTTCATCGTAATATTGGCTGCTTATTCTGCCTTTTTGCCACCCAGCAAGTCCATTGATTGTCTTCTATTTCTTATAAGTAGCTACCCATTTATAAAACAAATTATGTACCTTTTTTTGAACGAGGAGCTGCTGATCAGCTTAGAGTGTTAGCTGATCGCTCAAGCCATTTAGCTGTGCCTGGCTGCACTCTGCGCTTCCTAAAACTCAATTTCAGATGCCGCTGGGTGAACTGGAGATCTGGTGCTTGAAGCAACCTTCGAAAACGGTTTAATTAACCCCTTCAGGTAAGAAAGCACCCAGGGACCTCCAGGCACAATTACAACTTTATGTGGATGAAGTTGTTATGGTGACCAGAGTGTTCCTTTAATAGTGTGATCCTGGAAACAGTAACTAAGAGAAACTGGATCTGCCTGCCCTCATCCTAAAAGAAGGTATATTGATCTTTGCTAGAAAAATCTAATAAATATATCTGTTGTAGATTAAACCAGATTATATAATAAGAAATATATTTAATTGATAAGCTATATTTGATCTTGGACACTTTGTTAACTACCCCAGCAGTGCAAATGCAAGCCAATTTATTTATTAAAGTATTTTTTCCCTGATCTCCTGGATCTGCTGCTTCATTAGGACATAATAGCACGCCCACCTAAATTGGCAGATTGTAGCATTTCACAGCGGGCCTGATAAATCATCTCAATGACTCATTCGTCACTAAATTCCTGTTTATAAAAAGAACATTTTATGTCACATCTCATAAGAAATTTCTCAGCATGAGGCATGGTGGCTACAAGTGTTATTCTTAATATACAGCCCCATCAATGCCACTGGCAAGAAGAATTGAAGCATTCAATCATCTATCTCTTGCTCAAAATATATTATGCATAACATAAATACAATTCAGCCTGTATACAACATACCCTTAAATGAATCATTAGCCCCGTACACAGTTGAATTAAAGGAAAACTGTTCATTAAAAATAAACTTTAATTTATGACTCTTGATTCAGTGAATAGAAACATTGTGAATCAAGCATGTTGCCTTGCCTTTCAAAGAGACTATATTTACTCACAAATATGCTTTCATTAGTATCATGCACAAAATCATATTTTTGGTATAAGGTACTCCTCACTTACTGAACAGGTTCCGTTCCTACCACCCAGTCGTAGAACGAATTGGTCGGTAAGTGAGGAGTTAAGGGATTTCCTGTTCTGGTGCACTTATCTATGTTCTGGAAAATTTCCCCAAACGTAGATTAGAGGGATACCCTGCTCTGGTGTGCAGGGAAATGTCCCCGAACATAGACAAACACAGCAGATCAGGGAATCCCTCTAATTCCCACGACGGCTCGTACTTACCCCGCGAGAGAGCTGGTCGTAAGTGCGAGCCGTCGTAAAACAGGTAGGTTACAAAACAAGGACCACCTGTATGTCACTTTTGGTATATTTCCTCTAGTGATGTCGCGAACCCGAAATTTTCGGTTCGCGAACGGCGAACGCGAACTTCCGCAAATGTTCGCGAACCGGCGAACCGCCCGAAACGCCATTGACTTCAATGGGGAGGCGAATTTTAAAACACACAGGGACTCTTTCTGGCCACAATAGGGATGGAAAAGTTGTTTCAAGGGACTAACACCTGGACTGTGGCATGCCGGAGGGGGATCCATGGCAAAACTCCCATGGAAAATTACACAGTTGATACAGAGTCTGGTTTTAATCCATAAAGGGCAGAAATCACCTAACATTCCTAAATCACAATGAATATGGATTGACACCTGACGTATGACATATTGACACCTTGACATATGGATTGACACCTGTCCTCAGAGCCCCTGATGCACACGGACACAGAGCAGAATAGAGACTGGTCCCCCTACATAGGGTCACTTGGCAGATATGGATTGACACCTGTCCTCAGAGACCATGATACACACTGACACAGAACAGAATAGAGACTGTTCCCCCTACATAGGTCACTTGGCAGATATGGATTGACACCTGTCTCGGTTCCCTGATACACACTGACACAGAGCAGAATAGAGACTGTTCCCCCTACATAGGGTCACTTGGCAGATATGGATTGACACCTTGTTACAAACTGCTATTTGTAACGGGCCCTTTAAATGGCAAATTGCCTGCTTCCCTGGGTTGTGGAGAAGCCTATTTGCCAGCCTCCTCCCGCATGACTATGGCCCCTGGGAGATTG